TGTGACATTTCTCCAAAATGCTACAGTAAAATGGTTTGATATGAGGTGCGTATACTGTATGGGACGTCCCGTTTAAGAACTGACCTTTAGTTTTTTCTACTTATTAGAAATGACATATTTATGAGCCTCTGAAGTCGAATAATGTGACATTTCTCCAAAATGCTACAGTAAAATGGTTTGATATGAGGTGTGTATACTGTATGGGACGTCCCCTACAATAACTGACCAATAGTTTTATCTACTTATTAGAAATGACATATTTATGAGCCTCTGAAGTCGAATAATGTGACATTTCTCCAAAATGCTACAGTAAAATGGTTTGATATGAGGTGTGTATACTGTATGGGGCGTCCCCTATAAGAACTGACCAATAGTTTTTTATTAGAAATGACGTATTTATGAGCCTCTGAAGTCGAATAATGTGACATTTCTCCAAAATGCTACAATAAAATGGTTTGATATGAGGTGTGTATACTGTATGGGACGTCCCCTACAAGAACTGACCTTTAGTTTTTTCTACTTATTAGAAATGACATATTTATGGGCCCCTGAAGTCGAATAATGTGACATTTCTCCAAAATGCTACAGTAAAATGGTTTGATATGAGGTGTGTATACTGTATGGGACGTCCCGTATAAGAACTGGCCATTAGTTTTTTCTTATTACAAATGAGGCCTTTAGAGATAGATAGATAGATAGATAGATAGATAGATAGATAGATAGATAGATAGATAGATAGATAGATAGATAGATAGATAGATAGATAGATAGATAGATAGATAGATAGATAGATAGATAGATAGATAGATAGATAGATAGATACACTCAAAAAAATGAACTAGGAAGGTTGTGCACTTTACATAATATATTTATATTTAGTTTACTTATAATAATTGTGTTTTTTGACTTGAAATATTTTTTTCTAGTAAGGTCCACGTAATTATGTCTCAACTTAACAGTACAAAATCCTATTGCGTTGCCTAAACACAAACCATTTATGTTAAGTGAAAAATTCTTGCATCCAGAGGGTGGCAGTATAGTGCGAGCCAACTGCCATTTTGCCCGAACTTAATTTGATTGTGTTCAATCTGCTTAAATATATGTAACATTTAAGTTTACTTAATCCACTTGTGTTGGATTACATGATTGATTTGTGTTGCATTAACTAAAACTGGGCGGTGCTTGTTAGTGCCCAGCATGCTTTGCATATGGTTGAATTAAGAGAGAATAAATGTTAAAATTAAGTGTTATTTTATGTTTTTTTGAGAAAATGATAAAAGGGGAAGACTTGATAGTGTGTAATTGTGTTTAATGTTCAATTACATTTGAATTATTAGCACCATTTAAATTACAGTGGGTTACCATTGTGGAGAAGAGTGGAGCATTTTGTTTGGCTGTGGACTGATTTATTTATTTCAACTGTTTGGTTGACTGAGCATGTTAATCTTAGCATTTAAGATGCTAATTAGTGATGGGAAGTTCGGTTCTTTTCCGCGAACCGGATCTTTCGGACAGTTCGTTTCAATGAACCGGTTCAAAAAACCGGTTCACCAGTTCTTTTACGTCCTCGCGTAATGACGTCAATTATATCATCCCGGCGGATAAAAATACTTTAAATTAAAGGCATTTGTAATCATAACTTCACTTAAATAATAGTACTCATCGTAATAATCCTCTTGGATAAGTTTCTTACATTTTGCAAACGAACCCTGTAGCCTACAGGCGATGTGAAAACGCGGATGTTTAACATGTCTTAAATATATAAAGTGCATAAGTGGTCTTCATCATTTTATTTGTAATAAACTTACATTTCGCCGAATTCGGCCCCTCATTTAAGTCCTCGGTTCACCCGTGCTGCGTGCTCATCAGCACATCATCAGTTGGCTGAAAGAAAGTTCTGTTTAGAGACGGTGCTATCACGCATGCTCAGTATCTCCAGCTCATCGGTTCTCCGTATCGAACGTGTCCGAAAGAAACAGTTCTCGGTTCTGTACTGGTGATTCAAGAACTGCAACAACCAGTTCTTGACTCCAGAACCGTAGCATAGGCTGTGTGCTGAGCTGAGAACTGCTGAAACCTGAATATACAGTCGACAAAACTAAAAAAATCGATGCATGTCTTTCTTCTCCAATATGTTTAATACGTTATGTTTTAACACATTATAAACATTTACTAAGCAGTACTGTGCAGTGTGCACCATTAAAACTTTGGCAAGAGTTTACATCAAATATTTATATCAACTTACTTAGAAATTAAATGAGCAGTTCCTGAAAATATTATTTTAATAAATGTTTAGTTTGACAGTTTTACAATCCATTCATTGTGTTTCCAAACTTTAAAATAATACAGTGATAATACAGTAATTATGTGATAAACATGTTTCCAACATGTTTTTTTTTATTACACTTACTGATGTTCAACTAAATAAATACTTAAGAAACGTACATTTCGTCCCTCAGAAAAAAATTGCACGCGTGCTCAGCTCATCGATCAGTTGTTCTCATTATGTCGAACGTGTCCGAAAGAAACAGTTCTCGGTTCTGTACTGGTGATCCGATAACCGCTGTACATGTGCGTTCGGTAGTACGCGCATGCGCAGTATCAGCTCGTGCTCATCACTCTCAAAAACAGCACGTTTCAAACTGTTGGATTTACTGGAGTGAAATATACTCCGGGATATTGGTTTATTTCGAGTCAGAGGGACTGTCAGGCATGTCTGAAAGTGAGTAACTTTAGTAACTTGTGTATCAGCACTAACGCAAGACGCAAACTGTTTCGAACGATTCAGTCCGATTTAGTGTACTGGTTCGACCGGTTCACTAAAAAGAACCGGTTCAAAAGAACGATTCGTTCACGAACCGGCCATCACTAATGCTAATATGTGCTACTGCTAGCAAATAGCTAGCTATAGTCTAACAATTTAATTATGTGTTACTAAAATAAATGAAATATTAATGAATGAATGAATATAAAAAATACCCGAATCATGTCAGGAAGCCTTTAAAAAATCACTTTGAGACTACTTTAATAGGGTTGCTTAAAATGACCTAATTCCATGATGTTGAAGTTACATGAACAAATTATGTTGAAGTTAAATGAACAAATTATGTTGAAGTTACATAACAAATTATGTTTGTTTAACATAACCTAGTTATGTGGAACCTGTTGACGAAATAAAATTAAGTAAAGCCAACATATCATTTTTTTGAGTGTAGATAGATAGATAGATAGATAGATAGATAGATAGATAGATAGATAGATAGATAGATAGATAGATAGATAGATAGATAGATAGATAGATAGATAGATAGATAGAGAAAAAGACCAAGAAAGAAAGAAAAAAAGATAAATAGACAGACGAACGGACTGAAGGATCGATCTGGGCAACTCAAGCGCTCTGAAAGCGCGTTCTTTCTCTGCTGTTACTGAAATTACCGTATTCATAGTAATAGGCGCACACACTTTTTTTTTTGGCGGCTGGCTTGACCGTGTATTTTCAAACCGCGGCTGGCTTGACCGCAGTCTTCTTTTCCCCGGTTCGAGTCACTGAAAGTTCCCTGAGAATGTCTATATATATCACATATCTTGTGAATCTATTGTTTTTTCCTTTTCATATTTGGTATCATTTTAAAAAGTCTCAGTGCGATTGCTATAACAGTCTCAATTTCATTGGCAGTCATTATGAGAAAGATTGAAAACTTAGGAGAATTCTGTTCTCCTTTTTCTCTTCAAAATATCCGAAAGCCAAGGTGTTATGCATTAATAGACCCAAAAAAACAACTCTTGAAATGTTTTTACAACAAGCCTTTTGTTCTGGTCTGTTTCCCCGGAGACAAATCCCTGCAAGACAACAGCTGAAAACTATTCACTCGACTAGCACAGAAACGTTCTCAAGTTCCAGCTTCTCACAGTTATAAAGCAATACTGAAGACTAAAATGTCATCATTTAATATTGGTTTCAGCATAGGCGTCATTTACGGGGGGGACGGGTGGGACATGTCCCCACCACTTTTTGCCAGGGTCGATATTGTCCCCACCACTTTTGAAACATCTCGCGTCACAGATGTACCAATACAAATAAAACATCTCCAGTTAACTAGCAGCATTCGTTTCATTCATTTGTTAAATAAGACGCGATCTAGCGCTGAAATGTGTTGTCTTCACTCGGACGCGCGCTTCAATCCGTTGCAGAGATTCTATTCGTTCCAGAGAAATCACAATTCAAAATGCACACAAACGTGTCCCTGCTTCTCTGGGTTCTAATCCGCACTCGTATAGTTTTTTTTCCCTCATCAAAACCGATAATGTTTATCAGTGATAAAGTATATCAAGATTCTTGATATACAACCACTGATAAACATTATCGGTTTTGATGAGGGAAAAAAAACTATACCGAGTGCGGACTAGAACCCTCAACCTCCGACACGCGTGGCAAGAATTCTGCCACTGGACTATCACAATACATATACGTGAACGTAAAAATTCACGATACTAACAACATTATATTAGATCTCATTTTACGACCAATTAAACCCAAAGTACCATCACATTTTTGGTCGGACATCATACATTTTTATTTATTTCAATCAGTAAGCTACAGGACATCGTCTTTCAAACCATGACCTGCGCGAAAGAGAAAAAAGAATGAATGCGTCATTGTACCCAGCACTTTTGAAAATGCCCTTCCGAATGCGTCTCTGTCCCCACCACATTTCAAACCAAACTGACGCCCATGGGTTTCAGTATTATTATTACTTTTTATTAATATTCACAATCAGTTGTATTATGTATCTGTATATTACTTTTTATTTGTATCCATAATCATTTGTAATCATTGTATTTTGTGAATAGTGTGTGTGAGAGACTTTGGGACGAGCTAGACTGCATGAACATTTCTCATGCTCTCTCTCCTCCCCTCTGCCCTCCCATCAGCCTTGTCATAATCTGAGATGCAAACCATCGATGTCTGTCTTCAGATGTTTGGTTCACACTGTAGACAACATGCACGGGAGAAGAAACGCTTGCGATCTGTCACTCTATGGTCTGGTTTTGATTTATCTCAAATGCTCCAGCATAGCGGGTAAGTGACATATTTCAACTTTTGTTTATGTTAGATATTCCAGCAGATATGTATGTTCACTCACTCCTTTTCTATTAATTGTGCAGGTGTTAAGATTATGGGCCATGATACAACAGTCATGGAAGGAGGGAATGCCACTTTGTTTTGTCATCTGACTGAGACGGAGGAGAATTTAACTCGTATCGTCTGGCAGAAACAGACAAGAGGGATCCATGAGAAGCACAGCTTCTTTATCATCCACAAAGATGGGAAAACTGAACACAAAAATTATTTAAAGGACACGGTCAGATTTATTGGGAACTTTAAAGAGAATAATGGATCGATTCAGCTGCTGGGACTGTCGCTCCTGGATGATGGGATCTACACTTGCATCTTCAACACATTTCCGAGTGGACAAATTCTGACAAACATTAATGTCACAGTACATGGTAAGACTTCAGATGTTATTCTCTGATTCACTTTGGGTTTCAAGTTCAAACTAAATTGACAAATCTGTTATTTATTAACCCAAACCTATAAACTTTGTAACTCTCTTTCTTTCACAAAACACACTATTTTCATGCAATTACAATGATTGGGGACTGAAGCTTTCAAGCTTTAAAAAGAGGACACAAAAGCACCATTGTCATATTGACATATTCCAAATTGCGTACAGTTTGGGGAAACACGAAGGACGAATAACATGGTGACAGGATTTTCAGTCTTTCGATGACTTATTGACAGTCATTTAAATGTTTCATGAAGATATTTCCCCTCACAAACATGGTGTAAATCAACACCTGGAAAGTAAATTTAAATTAAAATAGATAATTCTGTGATCCTGTTACACACCCTTCATGTTTTTCCAAACCTGTATAGAATTTATTTATTTAATAATAAGGGGATGTTTTCTTTCCCCTACAATTACTATAAAGTTCCTCATGTAAATCTACAATATGGTTTCACAAGATTTGTAATATCGCAAATGAGTCATTTTCATCACTGCGACGATATTTGAATGGTGTTTTGTGTGTAAAGCTTCAGTCCGCAAAAAAAAAAAAAGAAGAAAGAAAGTATTTTCAGTTTCGGACGAACTACTGACAGTAATTCATGAGTATGTTTCATGAGTATATTTTCTCTCACAAACATGGTGTGTGTAGAGCAAAACTTGTAAAAGTGAAATGGCAGTGTTTAGGTATGCACATCATCTGGGCCATGTCAATTATTGGCTAATTTTTATGACTAATGTATTGCCCTTTTTATTCCCCTTTTTTTAAATGTAGTTCCTCCTGCTGTGAAAGTTATGGGAAGCACACATTTTTCTGATCATTATGACGTTACTTTGGCGTCATGTGTAGCCTCGAATGCACGGCCTGCAGCAGAAGTGTTGTGGCGATTAGGAGCTCTGGATGACTCTCTGAGAACAGAAACCAGCTGCACACAGCACTCAGACGGGACCGTCACTGTTGTGGCCAACATACTGGGTGCTCCATCTAAACATTTAAACCAGAAGAAGATCCAGTGTGTTGTAAAACACAGCACACTGACAAAGCAGCTTGAACTCGACTACGTGATAAATGTCCACTGTAAGTAACACTGTATATACAGTAAAAGTCATAAGCTAGTGTACAAATTAATAAAACAGTCAGGGGCATCACTAGGAGGTCTATGCCCCTGTATATCACATTTGTTTGTTGGTGGAGGTGGAATGCAGAGGAATGTTTTACTCCTAGAAATAGAAATTAATCACAGTCACTAATGTTTATACTTGGACAGAAGTGTAACTAGGTCAGTACAAGGTCAGCTTTCCCTCCTGTAACTAAGCATACCTAAATGTCAATGCCACATGAACAATGTTTATGATAAGCCAATATTATTATTATTTTCATATTTTTGAATTCTCTTAGATCCTCCAGAATTGGTGGTGATAATCCCTGATGATCCAACAGAGGCTGAAGAATATCACTGTTTAGTGGATTGTAACCCAGCACCGACTAGCTACATCTGGATCAAGTAAGTCCTTTGTTCCCTTTCAGTCGGTCACATTTGACGTTAGGTGGACTTCACCGATGTATTTGGATCATGCCAGGGAGCCTATCATCTTTGAGGGTTATTAGAACGAGCCAGTACACATTGGCGTGCAAGATTTTCATCTCACGCTCTGCCCCTCAGCGCGGGTATAAATAGGAAGCGGATGCACGTACCATTTGTCTTTCGTTCTGGAGCTGAACGGTTGACTATTACCCCTTTTCCACCAACAAGAACCGGGTGCTGGTTCAGAGCCAGAGCCAGAGCTGGTTCGGAGTTGGTTCGACTGACAAGCTTACTAAGAACCGGTTTGCCTTTCCACCGGCTAGAGAGCCACAACAGAGCCAGATCTTACGTCACTGCATACGTCTCATGTTGCCCAGCAACGCTAGTGCGGTAGCGCCAAACACAAACACGCCAGGCTTGTTCGAGATGCATCGGCTTCTCGCAGATCGATCGCCGCATGACATCAAAGCACTGCGAAAGCGATCCAAAAGCACAAGGAGTCGTATGATCTCCAAACACTCCCGCAGCTCTGATCGGTCCGCGCCGCTCCGATGCATCCCGAACAAGCCATCAACAATAACGGACGTTGCGTTACTATGGATGCTCATGGGTTTGCAAAAATACATCGGAATCCAACGCGTTTGTGCAGCTCGCCGTAACTTACACAGACGGATATTATAATCAAGCTGCTATTAGCTCGACTAGCTGCTATTTAAAAATGGTGGTCACAAGTTTCTTTTCGTCTTGTTGGTCACGGTAACCCCGCCCCCAGCCCCTGACGCAAGCAGTTCTTACTTTGCTCTGTTCTAGACCAGCAATGATTTGGTGCTACTTAAGAACCACTTTTACTGGTTCGGAGCTGGTGCTTTGCGTGTGGAAAAACAAAGAACCGAATTGAAACTAGGCTCCGGCTCCGAACCAGCACCAGCTCTGCCTTGGTGGAAAAGGGGTATATATGCCTCTGAAGAATGTTGATTTTCAGCGAGCGTGTGTGTCGAGCGCTTCTGGAAGAAGCCTCTCATCCGGTGTCGATATGAAAGCACGAGACAGCGGTGGGCGTGAGCCTCTAGCACTCTCAACTGCTGTTTTAAGAGCATTCTTTCTCTTTCCTTTTTTTAGTTGGTTAAAGGGTGTTTTTAGAGTGAGTGCTTCACTGTGTGAGCTGCACCATCCACTGCCAGTGTTGCAACAGCCATTTGCCCTGTGTGCTTCGGCACCTGAGAGAGCTATTTCCTGAAAGAGTAACACTGGTGTGACACATGGTTCTCAACCCTGTCCTGGAGTACCACCAGCACTGCACATTTTGTATGTCTCATCTATCACAACTGATTCAACTCATGAGCTCATTAGTGGAGACTGCAAGACCTGAAATGGGTGTGTCAGATATAGGCAGAGATAAAAAAAAAAGTGCAGGGCTGGTGGTACTCCAGGACAGGTTTGAGAGCCACTGGTTTACATGATCGTTGAGGCTGGTCTTTTCACGGATCAGAAAGAAGAGGATTCAATTTGGAGGGTAATACAGTTTATTGGAAAAAACAGGAGTGCGGCACGAGGGTAATTATCAGAAGCAAGGGCTAGATAAGGTCCTTAGTCAATGACGGCCTCAGGTAGCAAGGAAATTTTGTAATTCTTCCAGTTATTTACCTATATCTGCAAATAAATCGGAAGTGCCCTACAAATTCACAAAAAATAGACTGCTTCTGCATTGAAAAACAAGGTGGATAGCTTGAGTTTGGGGCGTAGCTACTGTAGAAGACAGAGTCCAAGTCATGACAGAGTCCAATTATTTAGATACATTTGAGTGTGTAGCAGAAGAGTGGACAAGATTTGGGACATACTATCAAGTCATAAAATAGTGTATTTTATCGGTTGCGCTCTGTCGCTTAACTACACGCATCCTGTCACGTAAACTGACCTGTCACTTATCTTGTCAAATATAAAATCCTTCATATTTTATTTAATTTAATTTCCTACTGTATTGGTAAGAAATGCAGAAGCACGTTGATCTTCCAGTCACAGGTCTTTCATGCTGAGACTCTCTTCATATTCATACATAACGATGCATTTAAAAGTGAATGGCCAAACGGATCTACAGTATATAAAAGTTCACATTGTTGTTGGAGATGAAATATAACACAGATATGTCGAAAGCATAATATGCTTTTGGACAAACTAATTTAATCTCACCTACTGTTTATAGGATGGATAGGATAGATATTGAAACACAGGGCATGATGAAAATCTAATCTTGAGTACTATACATCACTCCCATGTATTACATTTTATATCTATTTGCAGTCCATCATCCAGGCTAAAAATAAAGCAGGCCAGGCCATTGTGATGCAATTATCCTCTCAATGTCATGATCGCGGGATGAACGACAGGAAGCAGATGCAAGTTACTCTTTTAATGAAGACAAGTAGATGAATGACACACAGTACAGCCGATGGTGAAGTGACGCAGGAGCTTCGGTGGCCAGGACTCGTGAAGACGTGCAGTGAAGACGTGACGACAACGAAAACCCCAATCCACTTGAACACGACGACGAACAGGAACACCAGGCTGAACAGGACACAGGAACACCAACACCGAGGACCAGAGACAACGTTCTGACAAGGATGCAGAAACAGAGGTAAGAATATATGGGGTTGAGAGATTGCGTGCAGCTGGTGAGATGATGATGATCAGCTGGAGCGGATCCGGAGTGCCAATCATTCACGCCCACACGCACGTGCACTCATACAACAACATAAACACGAGACAAGAAGAGACCAGAGAATACGTATACCGTGACAGTACCCCTCCCTCTAAGAACGCCTCCTGGCGTTCCCAGACCCCCTTACCTGTCGATTGTAATCATCAATAAGGGAGTGATCCAGGATGTCTCGAGCAGGAACCCAACTTCTCTCCTCCGGACCGTAACCTTCCCAGTCCATCAAGTACTGGAATCCGCGTCCCCTCCGCCTAGAGTCCAGAATCCGATTAACCGAATATGTGGTCTCCCCATCTACGAGCCGCGGTGGAGGAGGAACCGGGACCGGCGGATTAATGTGTGAATGAAACACGGGTTTAATCTTGGATACATGGAACACGGAATTAACCCTCCTGTACGCGGGAGGTAACTTGAGGCGGACTGCCACCGGACTAAGGATCTTGGTGACAGCGAACGGGCCGATAAATTTGGGTGCAAGTTTATTAGAAACGGTGCGGAGAGGAATGTTCTTAGTTGAAAGCCACACTTTTTGACCAACGACGTATACGGGAGGCCTTGACCTGTGGCGATCGGCCTTGGCCTTGGTGCGGGCCCCCACTTGGAGTAGAGTCTCCCGGGCTCTAGTCCAAGTGCGGTGACACCTCTGGACAAAGGCGTGAGCGGAGGGGACCGCAACCTCGGATTCCAGACTGGGAAAAATAGGTGGCTGGTAACCTACACTACACTCAAACGGAGATAGGCCCGTAGCCGACACTGGTAACGTATTGTGCGCGTACTCTACCATAGACAGTTGTTGGCTCCAAGAGGAAGGATTCTTGGAGACCAAACATCGCAACACTCTCTCCAAATCCTGGTTGGCTCTCTCGGTTTGACCATTGCTCTGGGGATGAAATCCAGAGGACAAACTCACAGTCGCCCCCAGTAATCTGCAAAACTCCTGCCAAAATTTGGACACGAACTGGGGTCCCCTGTCGGAAACCACGTCTGTCGGGAGGCCATGTAACCGAAAGACGTGATCTACGACTGCCACCGCTGTCTCCTTAGCTGAAGGTAATTTGGGTAAGGGAACAAAGTGGGCTGCCTTCGAGAACCGGTCCACCACAGTCAAAACTACTGTGTTACCCTGGGAGGGTGGGAGGGCGGTAATAAAATCTAGAGCGATATGGGACCATGGTCTCGAAGGCACCAGCAGTGGCTGAAGTAACCCATCTGGAGGTCGATTGGAAGCCTTACCAGTAGCACAAACCGAGCAAGCCAAAACAAAATTGTGAATGTCACGAGCCATAAGTGGCCACCAGAATCGTTGCTTGACTAAAAATCTAGTCCGATTGACCCCTGGATGGCAAGCCACATTGGAACCATGACCCCACTGAATAACGTCTGACCGTAATCCCTCCGGCACGAATAATCGATTCGGTGGGCAACCGGGCGGAGGCGTTACCCCTTCCAAGGCCTTAACGACCCTCGATTCGACCTCCCATGTGAGTGTTGAAACGAATAGCGTTTCGGGTAAAATACACTCGGGAGTAGACGGGCGCTCGGAAAAATCAAATACACGAGACAGGGCGTCGGGTTTGATGTTCTTGGAACCCGGACGATAAGACAGGGAAAACTCAAAACGACCGAAAAACAGAGCCCACCGAGCCTGCCTGGAGTTCAATCTTTTAGCGGTTTTAATGTATTCGAGATTCTTATGATCGGTCCAGACGATAAAAGGTACCCCCGACCCTTCTAACCAGTGGCGCCATTCCTCCAATGCTAACTTAACTGCCAACAACTCTCTGTTACCAATGTCGTAATTGCGTTCGGTGGGTGACAATCGATGAGAAAAAAACGCGCAAGGATGCATCTTGTCGTCTGCAAGAGAGCGTTGGGACAACACTGCACCTACTCCCACCTCCGACGCGTCGACCTCCACCACGAACTGACGTGATGAATCAGGGGCAACAAGGATGGGGGCTGAAACAAAGCGGCCTTTCAGTTTGACGAACACAGCTTCGGCTGCGTCCGACCACCTGAACGTCGTTCTGGGAGAGGTCAAGGCAGTCAGAGGTGCGAATAGTTGGCTGAAATTGCGAATAAAACGCCGGTAGAAGTTGCCGAACCCCAGAAACCTCTGCAGGGCCTTGCGGGAATCTGGACTTGGCCACTCCACCACAGCCTTAATCTTCTCAGGGTCCATCCGCACTCCTTCAGGCGACACAATGTAACCTAAGAAAGGGACAGACTGTGCATGAAAATCGCATTTCTCCGCCTTGACAAAAAGCCCATTCTCTAGCAACCTCTGAAGCACTCGTCGTACGTGTTGCACATGCTCCTGGAGAGAAGAAGAAAAAATCAATATGTCATCCAGGTAGACATATATGAATTGATCGATCATATCTCGCAACACGTCGTTGACCAATGCCTGGAAAACAGCCGGGGAGTTGGACAGCCCGAAAGGCATGACCAAGTATTCAAAGTGCCCCCTGGGGGTGTTAAATGCTGTTTTCCACTCATCCCCCTCCCTAATGCGAACCAAATGATAAGCGTTACGCAAATCCAATTTTGTGAAGACGGACGCTCCCTGCAACCTCTCGAAAGCTGAAGACATCAACGGCAAAGGATAAGTATTCTTTACCGTGATGTTATTCAACCCTCGGTAATCAATACAAGGTCGCAGAGACCCGTCCTTTTTCCCCACAAAAAAGAACCCCGCCCCCGCTGGAGAAGAGGAAGGGCGAATGAACTTGGTTGCTAGAGAATCAGAAATATATTTCTCCATAGCCTCTCTCTCAGGAACAGAGAGTGAATACAACTTGCCCTTGGGCGGAGACTTACCTGGCAGCAAATCTATAGCACAGTCATAGGGACGATGCGGAGGTAGAGAAGCAGCACGAGACTTACTGAACACCTCCTTCAGGTCTAGGTACTCCGCGGGCACGTTAGACAAATCCCCTGCTTCCTCCTGAAACACAGAAACAGGCACAGACGAACAAGCAGACACAAGACAAGACTTATGACACCCCTTGCTCCACTCCAGCACTGATCGGTGATGCCAGTCCACTCGGGGGTTGTGTTGGATAAGCCACGGGTGTCCAAGTACGATGGGGGCCAGGGGTGAGTCCAGAATATAGAACGAGATAGTTTCAGAATGATTTCCAGAGGTAATGAGGGTGACGTCTTCAGTGGCAAGGGAAATGGTGGGTAGCTCTTGTCCATTGAGTGCGTGAACTGAAATCTTGTGAGTGAGTGGTTTGAGGGGAATCTGAACATCTTGAGCAAACTTGTGGTCCATAAAATTACCTTCCGCGCCCGAATCCAATAGTGCCTGACAATCGTGCTGGTGGACTGACCACCTAAGCTTTACCGGAAGGAGCGTGGAGGTCGATGTAACAGCTGATGAGGTCTTCCTGGCGGAGATCCCACCCGATAGTAGCCTCAAATTTACCACCGGGCTGGGCCTTTTACTGGGCAGTTGTAAGCAAAGTGACCCGATCCTCCACAATAAAGACAAAGGCCCTGGGACCTCCGCCTCTCCCTCTCCTCCCGGGAAAGTCGAGCTCGACCCACCTGCATGGGCTCAGGATCGTTGCTGGAACTGACCACGTCCCTGCCACTGGACCGAGACCCGTCGACGTCTCCGAAGGTACGGGTGGATTTAGCCCGGCGCTCAACTCGAGACAACCGAGCGTCCACCCGCAGCGCCAGGTCAATGAGTCCGTTCAAGTTGGTGGGCAGGTCCAGGGCGTAGATCTCCCTCTGGACGTGGTCAGCCAACCCATGCAGGAACATGTCCCACTGCGCCTCCTCGTTCCATCCGCACTCCGCCGCCAGGGTTCGAAACTCAATTGAATAGTCCGAAACTGATCTTCCCTCCTGTCGCAACTCTGCCAGGGTCCTAGCGGCCTCACGCCCAGAGACCGCCCGATCAAAAACCTTTCTCATCTCGGCGGCGAGGGTCTGGAACGAGGCGCAGCATGGGTTTTGATTCTCCCACACCGCCGTTCCCCATAGCGCCGCCTTCCCAGTCAACAAAGTCAAAGTAAACGCTACCTTAGCCTGTTCGGTGTTAAAGGTGCGGGGCTGTAGTGCAAAGTGCATCGAGCACCGAGTGATGAACGCTCTGCAGTGGGAGGGTTCTCCTCCATAAGCCTCAGGAACAGGAAGGCGTGGCTCCGGCTGGGAGGCGCTCTCAGGTGGTGTGGGGGGAACGGCTGGTGTGGGCGGCGCAGTGGGAACTCGTAGGCGTTGGATCTGCTGGGTGAGCTCGGACACCTGCGTCACTAGGGCTTGTACTGCGCGTCCCGTGCCGCCGATCTCTCTCTCTTGGGCATCCATTCTGCGAATGCTATGGTGAATGAACTCATCCAGGGATGACGAAGACGCACTTGCTGCTTCCATCTGCTGGTCAGAACGTTCTGTCATGATCGCGGGATGAACGACAGGAAGCAGATGCAAGTTACTCTTTTAATGAAGACAAGTAGATGAATGACACACAGTACAGCCGATGGTGAAGTGACGCAGGAGCTTCGGTGGCCAGGACTCGTGAAGACGTGCAGTGAAGACGTGACGACAACGAAAACCCCAATCCACTTGAACACGACGACGAACAGGAACACCAGGCTGAACAGGACACAGGAACACCAACACCGAGGACCAGAGACAACGTTCTGACAAGGATGCAGAAACAGAGGTAAGAATATATGGGGTTGAGAGATTGCGTGCAGCTGGTGAGATGATGATGATCAGCTGGTGCGGATCCGGAGTGCCAATCATTCACGCCCACACGCACGTGCACTCATACAACAACATAAACACGAGACAAGAAGAGACCAGAGAATACGTATACCGTGACACTCAACCTATATGTATCACTTATTAGTGTAAAATGGAGGGAAACATTTGATGCTTGGATTTTAAATCTTATACCATAACAACAAAGAAGCCAGCCTGGCCCATTGAAAGCCATGGCTCGCACTGGCCCGGCGGTGGAAATGCGGCTACTTTCAACTTCAATAAAAAAAAAAATAGGGAATAAAAGTGTAATGTGTCAGTCCAGCAAGGAGGCTACTCAAAATAATTTTAAGTTTCAAGTTTCCAGATTATTGCCTTTTACATCATCACATGTATACTTTCTTATAATGTTTCTCTCATTAACAGAGTGAATGGAAGTACTCCGCATTCTGAAGGCAATAAACTTTTCATCCCAAAATCTTCCTCTGATGTGAATGGTGTGTACGTCTGTACAGCATCAACCGGGTATGGAAGTGTGTCAGGTGTGCTCTATGTGGATAACACTGGTGAGTCCTTTAATATCTTTATATTTTAAAATAGTTGTGTTTTTTATTATTATTTTATTCATATTATTCTTCTGTTTTATTTAATTCTAGTCTAGTCTATAGGCATGTAGCATAGATATATGTACACTAGATGTTGCCTTTGGGTTCTAAGCATGCGTCAAAACCGCCGCCATCTTGGAACAGGGGTCTTGTCATAGGAAGTAGCTAGGTAACGGTGCTATCTCCGCCTGTACTTCTAGAATGTTTTTTTTTATTTTTTTTATTTTTTATTTCTCTGGACTCAATGATAAATACATGTTTGACCATTGGAACGAACCAAAAAAACTAGAAAATCGCATTCATGACGATTTATGTTGATTTTATTTCCGTTAGACCTTTGCCTACACGGACGCTTATGCATTAAAGAGGAGGGGCTCCCCTTTTCCATGATGGCGGCTCTATTGACGCATTCGTTCCAATGAACTGCCGTAGCCAAGGCGACATCTAGTGTATATATCTATGGGCATGTAGGAACAGAAGTAAATCAACACAGAGACAACAATATTCATAGACAAAACTTAAATATGTCACCTGACAGTTCTCCACTCTTATTCCATGTTTTGTAGGATCCACTGATGTCTGTTGGGATCTGTTGGGTTTTATCTCCAGCTGTGCCATCCTGGGATTTACTGTGGTTTTTATTCTGCTCAGTGTCTCGAGGTCTAAAGTTCTACTGAAGTAAGAGTAGATTTTACTAAAGTAAGCACTATTAATTATAAATCATCATAGGTCATCTCATGGTAAAGTCCACCACAGCTAAACTGATGTGTTGTGACAGAGCAGTGCTGGGGAAGTACCTCAAAAACTTCCGATTACTTCTCTAAAATTGTACATTTGTCAAAGTAAACACGAATGACTTTTACATTGCTTTCTATAACATTTACAACCGTTGTGATATGTCTGTATCTGCCCATGTCATGTTTTATGACTGTTTCAATGCTTGTGTGTGAATTATGCGTGCATTTGTTTAATTTGTTATTCTTGGGTGTGTTTGAGTACAATCTCTAGAAAAAAGGTACTAAAGCTGTTACTGTGGCGGTGCAAACTGAAAAATAAAGTGACAAATGAAAACAAACTGAAAGTCCATGAATAACAAAACGAACATAAGATAGCATTTCTAGCACTTTTAGATTTGACCATCCACCCTCCTTTGTGTGCATGTTATCTCTAAACTCTTAAAAACCTTATTACCTTTTGTTTTACTTAGTTGAGAATGAGACATTTGTACCAGTCACACTGAGACATTTCAAACGATACCAAATATGTATAACACTCGATGATAATCATTCACATTAAACCATTTAGATTCTTGTGTGAGTTTGGGTGATCTCTGCGAGAGTGGATCATGAGGGGGAGAAATGTAGATTAGTGTCTCAATAGTGCACAAGGGGGAGTTCAAATGTTAATTTTCAGCAAGGTCCTTTGTCCACTCGAGGAGTGGTCAATCCTCTTCCAGTTTTTCCAGCTTTTCTCCTTGATCCCGTGGGTCAAATTTGGATGAACACTTACGAGTTCACAGTAAGACGGTTGTTGTAATCCTTGAGATGTAACTCAAAAATTGACTTTGCAATGTTAGCATCTGTCGAAGCTTTCAGAGGGCTGTGTTCACCTGCAGAACATCCGGTCTCACCAGGTGTATGTAGTGCGAGTTCAGCAGGATGAATGGGTTCAGGTTTTCTTCCTGTGGTTCACAGAGTCAATCTGGACCTTTGTGACTTGTGCAGTTGACGTTTCATTTCTTCATGAAGAAACTTCTGATTCTGTGGCACCTTCCCCATGATGATAATCTGTCCCTTCTTGACCAATCCTGTCTCCTCCAGCGGTGCGGTTGTCTGGGCAGACCGAAGGATAAAGGGGTTCTCCTTCACTGTAAAATCCAATTTGTAAACCTTACTTAAAAAAAGCATGCAAACCGATTGCCTTGAAAAAAACGAGTAAAGTGAAACAGGAATAGTCTGTAGTACTAACACTACTCACACTACTAACACACACTTTAATGCACTGCTGCCTCTCACTGGTTTGGTAACGTTTGGCCACTAAAACGTCAAGTTTTAGTGTTTGTTTGTGTGGTAACAAAGAAACTCACAAAATGGTTAGAATGAATGCTAGGCTAGTTCCATCAACTCAGAAAGGTGGACTAGCTAGCCCTCTATGGACAGACAGTGAGTTCAAGTCATTGTTAGGAGAGCACATGGACTCCATAGTGACTGAGTCAGTCAGATTGAATTTGACAAAGAAATTTGGTATTCACCCAAAAAGAGTATGGTCTATTGAAGAATGCAAAAAGGTGTTAGGTTCATGTATCAGGAAGAGAAACCTAAAAGGCATTATTTTCTGTCACATGGAATTTAGCTTATCCATTGTACAAGAGCAAGTTCAGTGTATTGTGAAGTTAAAAGAACAGAACAAACAATTGCAGACTCAAGTGTCCTGTTTCAAGACAAAGATGGGCCATAACAAAACCTCGTCAAAATGTGACTCAGAAAACCAACAGTCAGATGAAAGCTATCCTGATTTACAGTTTTTTGATAGAATAGAGGACCATGTCAGTGCTGTATTGATGAAAGATGTAAATGCAGTTAAAGTGTGTGGAGCAAGCCAAAAGGCTCAGAGTAGGGGAAAAGGGATTGATCCAGATATCGAGAGAATTGCTGAAAGTTTGCCATCAGTGCAAAGAAATTTTTCGGAGTTTAGGAGAGAATTGTCAAAAAAGATGCGGCTCTACGATATGTCTCTAGCTGAAGTCAACCAGCTAATATCACAGATCTTGACTGAGTCAGAATTCAATGATTTTGAAAATGCTGTAAACAATTCTGAACTACAGCATGCCAGAAAAGATGAATTGAGAGAGGGAGTTCTGAGAGTGTTAAAGAACATTGTTGGACCAAAAGTGGACTGGTCAAAGATCACTAGATGTGTACAGAAGAATTATGAAAAGGTATGTGAGTACACAGAAAGATTTTGTCAGACAGCTGCAGCTTACAGTGGGATTGTTGACACTTCAGAGAAGGCGCTAGAGGACAATGGTGCCCTCGTTCGCACATGGTTTGATGGCCTTTTGTCAGAGCATAGAAAAGCATTGCCTTTCTTAGATGTCACATGGGACACTAGAACCCTGCAAAACAACTTGGACAGTTTAGCTGCTTGGGAAAGAGATTCTGATGTCAGGGCAAGCGTAAACATTGCACCAGCCTCCTTTAAGGTCAACACAGAGAACCAACAGAAACATGAATGTTCTAAGAGAGAGGGCAGTTGTTATTACTGTGGTAAGCCTGGATACTGGAGAAAAGAGTGTAGGAAAAGCAAAAAGAACTTTATAGAAGTTAACAATTTTGCTCAGCTCCTACTCAGTCTGCTTTCTAATTTGAAGCAGCCACTGCCCACATCATTAAACGGGTGGGGCAACATGTTGAAGTGTTAACCATTTGTGCTGTGAGTGCTTAATTCTCCCCAGTAACTTACAACAGAGATAAAAGACTTATTTTTGTTCCATAGAACAAAAGGAAAGTGACTATCTCAGCTTTTCCTTTGTGGGGACAATGGTTAAGTAAGCTCACAGCCTTAAATGTTGTCTACAGCACAGGCCCTTCATTAGTAATGAGCTGGGTCAGGCTGTAAACTTAAAATGCCCTCAATGTAGTGACCGCAATAATGAATCAAGCAAAAGTCATTTTTGTCACCATTCTCATAAATGATGTCTACAATGACTGGAGTTTTGTTAGAGGATGAAGGAGAAATGACTCACGATTGTGTTACGCAGATAAAGCTACACACTTCACAGGACAGGTAGTCAAGGAAGTGTCTGGACCACATCAAGTGATGTAAATTAAAGTAGTGGCAGTATTGTGTCAGGATAAACCTGGACTCATTGTGTCACACTGTAAAAGTTGTTCCCCCTCCCACAGGCAAATGACAGGACACGGAACAGTGAGGAGCCCAGGGAAGAACCGATTGCAACAGGCGTCGGGGGCCAACCCCTGCGGTGAAGACTACCTCATAGGCCTTCCCCCTCCCTAGTCCACCCCTACCTCACTGCTTCTATTTAGGTGTCAAACAAATTAAGAAATAGGGAAAGAAGGAACAACGATAGCAGACTCGGAAAAGTTTACAACCCCAGGGTTTGAACAAATACTGCTCTCCTGTCTTTTGTTTTCTCTCTTCCTCTGTGCAGGTACCACGTGATGGCTGTCCTGAGAAACATACGCACCGACCTCCTCACCTGCATATGAAGACACCACTTCCAGAAAACAACTAGACCCACTTCCAAGCCAACTATCACAAAAGAAGAAAAAAATACACAACGCAGAGACTACGAAACCTTCAGTCATCCATCGACATGCTCAAGATTGTCCTACTACTACACATCATGAAGATCGCACAAAATCCGGACTCCAGAAACAACATATTCTTAGAGCTGATGAATATGTCAAAAACGCCTTGTTTGCTGGAAAGAATGCTTGCACGTCACCTCCGAAGATGGCTGCATTCCAGGACTCACTTGTGCACAAACATGGTGGTCCAACAAGACATTCTGGATCTTTCAGCAAAATTACATCAAGATGACTGAAGATAATTCTTCATGGTTCAGAAACTTGATTGATCACGAGAAAATCACAGTTCCAACCAAAAAAAAAACTTCACGCACCCTAATTGCATGTTTTGTTTCTGTGGCAGCATGCAATTGCAGAAACATCAACACAGAACAAGCTTATGTGCCTGTAACTATCACAAGTTGCAAGAATGAATTTTTAATTGTTTAAATTTGTATATATTTGGGGGGAATTGAAGGAATACAAATTTGTCAAATGTTTAATTTAGGTTTCCACTCCAATGGTATAAAAACTGATAATGTTTAGTAGACGGATTTTAGATGATTATTGAGTCTCCTTTCCTGATAGTCCTGTTTTCTCTCCCTTCAGCCTAGATGTTGAATCGTTAGGTTGATTGGATTAGCTGTCGGGGAGACTTTCACCTTTTGTCTTTAATGGCTCTGGGATGGCTCTTAGGAACCAGAGTTCCTGGCCACTATCAGCTATCACAATAGTTATGCTGATTCAATTGGATTGGTAACGCCCTCAGAGTAGGGTGTGTTCCTACTTCATTTGCATGCTTTGTTTCAGAGGGACTCCACCCCAATGTAAACTCCTCCCCCTCTAAATGTATAAATTACTAGGGAACATTTCCCTTAGTTGGACGAGATTAAGATGCTACAGCGACCTAATCAAGAACATCTGCTTTAAAAGATACCTCTCCGTCTCCTGGTCTGCTCTTCTGACTTTTCTACACTTTAAGAAAAAAAAGTTCACAACAGGTCTCAAGTGTTTCTCAAGGTCAGGTATGGTGGTCCCATTTTAAATATCCAATTCTTCACTACCACTGTGATAATGTTAAATGGTAGTGGAATTTAAATATTCTTGGTCTGAATCACTAGCGGCGCAAGGATTTTGATTGTAGGTGGGCCTCCAAAAAACTGGATGGGTCAGTTAAAATAACCCAAACAAAAAACGGGTTCCCTTTCATCTCCGTTTCAGCGCTTTGGCACTGCTATGCTTTGCGTTTCATATTAGCTAATATTGGAGATTTTCCTTTGCCTCACGTAAAAGTCTGTATTGCTGTGTCTCAGTCAGAAATCAGGATAAATCAGGTTAAATTAGGTCAAACGGGTCTGTAAGGATGGAAAAGTACCTACAAAGCTCAGAGAGAAGATAAGATGGTACTAAAAACATCAATTAAAAATGATGGATGGCACTAGAACACTGCAGGTGCAGGGAAACATGTGACCTGAGCAAGATAGCTGATTGGCTACCTAGTGATAAGAAAAGGTATAAGACTTGAAGTTTGACCATTGCAAGTCAAATGAACAGCTGCATCTCACTTTGTTGCTTGTCAATAAAGTTACTTCTTCTGAAACCTGGAACTTGGACTCTTGAGAGATTTTTTTGAGACCCGATTTAAAGACTTTGAATTTGACACAACAAAATTGGCGAGCCGAGCTAAGAGTGGAGAAGGGGTAGCCATGGTGGGCATGCTGACAGAAGCCTCACAAAACAAAAGGCGCCAATAAAAATAAGGTAAGCAGCTTTTTGCTTATATATATTTGTTTTGTGAGGCTCCTAGTAAGCTAGCGCCTGGTTGGTAGAAGACCTTAAATAAAAGACCCCACCAAAAAGAACCTAAAATTGATAAGGAATCAAAAGGAGGGTAATTTCCAGGTCTCAAGAGGGAGTGCATGCGTAAATAGGCCTACAATAAAGCAAGAAGTGCTTAAACGCAAGAAGTGCGAAATAAAGCAAGAAGTGCGTCAGTTAGATAAAATAAAGCGCTTGATAAATTCCGGAATATAGCATAAAATTGGCAATTTTTTTATAAAAGGCTAGGATAAAGAGATAAAGTTTATTCTGGTTGTGCTGTGATCACTAATCCTGCTGCTTTTAACTGCTCGGCTTTGACATTAACCGCGTTGCTTTAAACTGCTTTGCTTGGCACTAATCGCGCTGCTACATACTGCTCTGCCTGATAATTAACCGTGTTGCATTGAGCTGCCTTGCTTTAGCACTAATCGCGCTGCTTTGAGCTGCCTTAATTGGGAGAGAAGACACTCTTGGGATCAGACTGAGATAAGTGACTGAGAGAAGCTGAGACAGTGAAAGGGAATGAGAATATTATATGAGACCTGTAAAGATGGAGAGACGATACTGATGAAATTCAATGGACAATGAAAAACAAATTAATATAAAGAATATAAGAAAATATAGAGTTCATAAAATAAAAAAATACTCCCAAATACTGGCTTTGTCGACTGTTTGGACACTTTTCAGACTGCAAACGCTGTGATCCAGATAGGGAAACAGCCCATACTGAACAAAAATCGAATAAATTAACTTTTTGAACTTTTTTTTTTTTGTGTGTGTGTGTGTGTGTGTGAATGAATATACTAACAAACTAAGTATATTTGGATTGAGATAAAGAAGTAGGGAGGGAGAAAGGTGACCGTGATAAGAGAACAAATTTTATTTCTGGAAGCTTGAAGACAAATGTTGGCCAGGGCAAGAGCTCATTATGAGGAAGAATATAGGAGGGAATCAAGAGAAAGAAAATAAGAAAATGACTTTAAACAGGCATTAAGACAAACCAAAGGCATCAAAAATCATTTTTGGTTAGAAAAAGAATTCATAGATGACAAATAATAACCTTTATTTTACCAGGAAAGAAGACTCACTGAGATTAAAATCTCTTTTTCGGGAGTGTCCTGGCCAAGATAAGCAGCTTAGTTTACATATACATTTTACATCAAAGTTACAACACACAAACATAAACAAATCTCATTACATAAATACAAAATATAAAAAAAGGGCGGAGACAAGAATCAAAAGAAAAATGAATTGACAAAAGTCACAAATCTGAATCAACTTGAGACGTACTCGGTTACTTGCATAACCTCGGTTCACTGATATGCGGGAAAAAGTTCTGCGTCTGGTTGATTATGGAAAAACTCCTTTTTCTCCGAATACTGAAGCCTTTTTAATCATGCAGTGAAACTGCACGGCCATTGGTTCATACAGAGGAATAAAACGAACCAATGGCGAGGCAGCGGGGCTGCACGAGCCTATGGCAGGGTAGCATACCAGAGCAAGCCAAAATGGGCGTGGCATCTGGCTATAAAAGCAGGCATTCTGGCATAGGATCCTCAGATTAAATCCGACTGAAGCGATAAACTCTGAGTCGTACAGCAATATAGCACGGCCTGAAACACAGTTCCCGTATCTCGTAAGTAACAGAGTATGTTCCCTTCCGATACTTTACTCGTACTGCGTCGTCGCTAGAAACTGTTATGGGGAACCAATACAATCTCGCCATGCTATGGCTTTGGAATGACTTATAATGTTGTACTTGGCCTTTAGCCCTTAGCAGACCCCAGAGGAACCAATACATAATAGGGAATAATCATTTCGCTGGGGGCTCAGACGTAAGTCGGAGCCGTCTCGGAACGTAAACCGGGAAGAACTCATAGAGGTCGACCCTGCCCTAGACAATCGTTCCAAGGAACCTGTATGGCTTAGACTCTAGAAGGACCGAGAGCTTGTCAGGTAAGAGAAGGCAATAGCCTGTTACCAATGGCCCAGACCTTGGTTAGAGCCACAAAGGTATTATAGCAATAGGCGATAGCCATAGAGTTACCCCAAATAGTATGGGGTGGAAGTTCATGGTGGTTTGGGCTCGGCTGAGGCCAAATTCACTAGACAGAAAGGACTTGTGGCTGCAGAGCAGGGGCTTCTAGATTGTAGAACCTGGTAAATGTGGACGGCGATGACCAGCCGGCCACCACACAAATATCACCAATGGACACACCACTGGACCAGGCCCAAGACGAGGCCATGCCTCTGGAGGAATGAGCTCTTACTCCGACGGGGCATTGTAGGCCATCTGGATATCCTCTGCTTCGTGACCGGATGCCCTTTGGTGCGGCCTCCGAAACATACAAAAAGCTGTTCCGAATGTCTAAAAGAGGCGGAGCACTCTGTTTATTCTCACAGCCCTAACAGGGCAGAGTAGATGCAGCTCTCGTTCATCTGCGGAGGGAGGAAGTGCCGAGAGGGAAATCACCTGTGCTCTGAACGGAGTAGAGAGCACCTTAGGTATATAACCATGCCTTGGTTTCAGGACAACCTTGCAGTCGGTGGGCCCAAATTCCACAGAAACCTTGAGCGTGGAGGGAGTGCGTCCCTTATCCAGCAGGTCCTGCAGGGAAGACTATATCAATGATATGTCGCAAGAGAGAGGGTCTGCGCTCCAAGCTGTGCACCAGGCGGAGAACACAGACCATTTAAGGGCATAGAGGCGTCATGTAGACGGGGCTCTAGCCTCGGAAATAGTGTTTAAAACTCTCTCGGGGAGGTCCATAGGCTCCCATCAAGAGGCCAAAGGTGCAGTGCCCACAGATCGGGTTGGGGGTGCCAAATCGTCCTGTTCGCCTGAGAGAGGAGGGCCCGTCTCAGAGGGATGGGCCACTGGGCGGCTGTGAGCAGCTGCGTCAGCTCTGAGAACCAAGGTTGGTTCCTCCAGAGAGGGGCCACGAAGAGGACTTCATGTTTGTATTCCCTGATTCGTCTGATGACCTGAGGGATCGGGGGGTAAGCGTTTAGGAGAAGGCTGGGCCAGTCGTGGGCCAGCGCATCCCTGCTCTTTGAGAAATAAGTTGAGTCGTGAGAGTCTTCTGAGGCGAAGAGGTCGACCTCTGCCTTCTCGAAGATCTCCCATATTTTGTGAACCGCGTGGGGTGAACTATCCACTCCACCGAGGGGATGTTGCTTCGAGATCGCATGTCTGCCCCTTGCTTCAGTTTGCCCGGCACGTGCACTGCTCTCAGAGAACAATTAAACTTGTGAGGAAACAGCGCTGCGTCACCTCACAAGTTTAATTCGTCAAATAAACTGACCTGTGTGAGTAGTAATTTAGCACTTGCGGGTGAGTTAGTTCGGTAGAATAAAAAGTCCTCATTCCTTTATATCCGCGGGACTCGTGTGTGGCACTGATATCTGTCTCTCATTAGCAATCGCGCCATGCTTCATACCACAGTCATGTTAAAAAACATGAATGTTTTCACTCATCGATCAGCATTATTTCCCCTTAAACATTTAACGTTCGATCCATCGGCATGACAACAAGTTCCATGATTCCGCTTATTCACTGAGTCATCAATCTACGCCTTTGTTGTTGTAAGAGGTTAACCCCTAGCGGTGAAAAAAATTACAGATTGTAGCTTTAAGCCAACGTTTTCAGGATGTGGTCATTATGGTTATAACTTTTTGACTATTTTACCAAACAAAAATGTCCTGTATCATAAATCGATAAACTTTTGCTTGAAAACAATGAAAACGCCTTAATTCCTCTAAGTTAAAATAACCCCAGATTAAAAAATTGGAACAATAAAAAACGCCACTGCTTATAAGTAGCACTTCCTAAAACGTTCTAGAACGGTTTAGAACAGTCCATTGAAGTCACAAAATTATGGAAGAATAAATTACATTTTCCAGTTCAATTTATTCTTCTATAATTTTGTGACCTCTATGGAAATGTTCTGCTCCAAGAAACAGGTACCGTCCAATAATTTGCATTTAGAGTGGCATTCTGCACTTTTCTTCTAGTGAACACTATTCTAAAGGCACACTTCCTCTTCTTCGATGTGATTGCTCAAATCTCACTAAAATATTGTTCCAGATAGCCTTGTTTTCTATAAGGTATATAGCATCACTTTTCTTGTGCGACATTATAGATTGCAATACTGGAACAAATATCAAAAAGTATGAAGTTGAGTTGTTTGCTCATAAATATCTCTCTCTCTCTCTCTCTCTCTCTCTCTCTCTCTCTCTCTCTCTCTCTCTCTCTCTCTCTCTCTCTCTCTCTCTCTCTCTCTCTCTCTCTCTCTCTCTCTCTCTCTCTCTCTCTCTCTCTCTCTCTCTCTCTCTCACTCTCTCTCTCTCTCTCTCTCTCTCACTCTCTCTCTCTCTCTCTCTCTCTCTCTCCCCCTCTCTCCCCCTCTCTCTCCCCATCTCTTCACAGTAAAAAACGTTGGGTTGTTTTTAACCCAACCATTGGGTTACACAGATTGGGTCATTATGTTGGGTTATTTTTCCAAAAAAGTTGGGTCATTTTTAACATCGTTAGGTAATGAGAATGCATACCAAGATGGGATTGTTCTAGAAAATCAGCTGTAAAACAATTCCTGAATGTTTTTAACAGTTATACACATTTTTAGGAAGTGCTATATACTTACAATCAGTGACATTTGTTATTTTTCCAATTTTATATCTGGGGTAACCTTTTTTAAACTTAGAGGAAGTAGGGCGTTTTTCATTATTTTTAAGCAAAAGTTCATCGATTTATGATACAGGAAATATTTTATTTGAAAAATAGTCAAACATTTATTATAACCCCCAGTGGTCATGCGTTTGGAGAGCTGCATGACTCGATTTGTCCACTAGAGGTCAGTGGTGCAACAACTTTACACCGGGAATTCCTTAGAAAGTGAATTAGTAATATATAACAGATAATGTGTACACAGTGCCGCTGCTAGCCATTTTGGTGCCCTAAGCATAATTCCTTTATGATGCCCCCCCGCCCCCCCCCTAAAAAAAAAAAAAACATTTTAATTTAGGATTTTCATTTAGCCCCCAATGAGGGTATGATTTATAAAAAAAATGCAAAAATTAAAAAGTAACACTTTAGTTTAGGGTCTAATGCTTACTATTAACTAGTTTCATTACCATGCAATGGCATGGTTTTATAATCACTGGGGTTCCGAATTTGAGGCAGGTTAGTTAGGGGTGTTCGGGGGAAATTTTGGATTTTTCTGAACTACAGATGTGCATTTTAAGATGTTGTGAAGGCAAAAAAAAAAATATATATATATATCGATAACAACAGCTTTAAAACCATGTCAGTGGGCAGCTGATTATTTTTCTCTCCTCATCAGCATCACACTCTTTTTCTCTTTGTTTTTATCTTGCCCTGTCTCTTCCCCTCCTAAAGTTGGCTTTTTTAATTTTCTAAAGGTTACAATTTGTATTTTATTCTCAATATGTACACATTCATTATTAATCCTGTGGCTAACATGATGAAAACGGCTTTGTTCATGTTTCTTGTCCCCTCACAATGACAATAGCCTAAACTATTACACTAGGCTACATGTTACATAGGCCTATTTTCAGTTCAAAATAGCGAAATTAGACAAAACTATATTAGTTTGCCTAATTATTTTTTGTCATTCGTTTAACATTTATGACCTAAAAAAAACTGTCAAATAAAGTTAAGTTTAGCTACTTACATCTTCATAGCTGCCAACTCTCACGCATTGGCCGTGAGACACCCGCATTTGATTGGTTTCACACGCTCACACGCCACACTCCCGATTTCTCACGCTGAAGTGTCAACCCGGGCGGTCAAATGCCTGGAAGATGAGTTTATCTATTTATCTACCTGTTGAGCCACTCGTGATCGACTAGTTATACCGCAAATTCGTTAAAAATCTCCCGTTATCTAGAGCGAGCGTGCATGCGAGACAGAGATTGTGCTCCAAACCGCGTAGAGCGAGCGAGAGACCTTGCGCGAGCGAGACCGCCCCCCCCCCCGGTCAACAAATCTCACTCGTCTCTTCCCCCCCCCCCACCCCCCCGTCAACAAATCTCACGCCGAGCAAAACTCAAAAGTTGGCAGGTATGCATCTTATCTCGCACTTGACCGTACACTGAAGCGTCGAGTTGCACTGTTAAAATTCGCGCTCAGCGTCTGTGAACATAAAGCCCGCCTACTTTGATTTGATTGGTCATCTCAAATATTCTGACATTGACGAGCAGTGACAGACCAATGAGGCTCAGATGAACAAACACATGACACACACACACACACACACACCCTGTCCTGTGTTTCTGACGTGCTCTCTGTCTCTGCTCGGCGCCGCTGCGGAATGAAGAGGAAGAACGCGCTGAATCTGATTATAACAAGAAGTTTGATGATTGGTTTTTCATTAGGCTATTTTTGGTGCCCCCTCAGCACTTGGTGCCCTACGCACAGCGCGTGATGCGCGTGGTGGGAGCGGCGGCGCTGTGTGTACAGCACAGCAAACTGCAGTCTTTGGAGGTTTGAATTTATACATACGCGAAATAAATACTGACAACAATCACGAGAGTTATGAAGAGCTTTAAGACTGCGTTTCCCAGTGTCACCTAAGATGAGCATCCTTCTAATGAAACACCCAGTTATGAGGAGACTCGGGACTCGGGAGAGGATGACGGGAGGAATGCGTGGTCGTGACGTCAGCTGTCTCATCATCATCACTGGCGCTGCTTTAGAATGAACGAGAGCGAGTCATTCAGCATCAGATGCGACATCACAACATCATGAACCAAAGCTGAACTTACGAGGACCACGGCCCCTCTTCTCTCGGAGGATCTGTTTTAACTTTGCGAATGATTCGATGAGCTCTGCACTCAGATAAATGACTCAAAACACGGGTCCGTCTCATTTTATTCGCAGATGACCGATAGCGGCAGCGATGGCAGGGTCAAATTTGGTGTTCTCCGATGTGGAAAGTTTTCTAGACGCGCACCCGGAATTATTAGAGGACTATTTAAACAGAAAGGGCAAGGTGAGTGTGGTGGAAAAGTGGCAGAAGAACCATCACGCGGCTAAAACTCCGGCGAACTCCAGCGGCGCGCACGCGGATAAAGGCGCGAGCGCGTGCGGGAAAGACAGCTGGGCGAGCAGAGGAGACGGCATACAGAGACGAGCCTCGCAGAAAGAGCTACGGAAAACATTCGCAAGGTCTAAAGCCATCAATGCCAACAGGACTTATGATGAACACGTTAACTCGCGAGCGCAGGAGCCGCTCACCAGCATGAGGAGGCGCGCGCTTCTGCGTAAAGCGAGCTCCCTTCCGCCGACCACCGCGCACATACTCTCCGCGCTCCTGGAGTCCCGGGTCAACATCCCTCAGTACCCCTACACCGCAGTGGACTACAAATACTACCTGAAAGAGCACAACGAGAGGGAGTTTTTCCTGGAGCTGGTCAAAGACATCTCCAACGACCTGGATTTGACCAGTCTGAGCTATAAGATCCTGGTGTTTGTGTGCATCATGGTGGATGCTGACCGATGCTCCCTGTTCCTGGTGGAGGGACCGGCCAATAAAAAGACCCTGGTGTCCAAGTTCTTCGACGTGCATGCTGGGACCACAGTGTTGCCCTCTCTGAGGAACTCGGATGAGGTGCAGGTGCCTTGGGGAAAGGGCATCATTGGATATGTGGCTGAACATGGGGAGACCGTCAACATTCCCGATGCATATCAGGTGAAAGCAGGAATGAAAGCAAGCTCGTCCCTAAGGATGTGTGGGACTTCTGTAATATTTTGGGACCACACCACAGTTATAAAGGGATCAAAGTAGCAGTCAAAGGAGATGCTACTGGAGGAAGTAAAAATCTTATTCCTTCAGAATGATTTCTTAGAGGATTCTTAGAGCCCTTTGGGATGCTTTAGGATTGTTTACAAATAATGAAAGAAATTCGGTAACACTTTACAATAAGGTTCGTTAGTTAACATGAACTAACAATGAACAATACTTCTACAGCATTTATTAATCTCAGTTCATATTAATTTCAACATTTAGTAAGACATTATTAAAATCAAAGGTTGTATTTGTTAACATTAGTCAATGCACTGTGAACTAACATGAACAAACAATGAACATCTGTATTTTTTGCTGTATTAACTAACATTAACAAAGATGAACTAACAAATATTGCTCATTTTTAGTTCATTATAGTCAAAAATGTTACCAGAAATTCTTTAGGTTTTTGACTATATCCATTCACATTACATTTTCACATATGAATAATTAATCAGATAGACATGGAAAGTATTTTACTAAAACATTTATTGATGGTGAAACGCAACATTCCCAATGCATATCCGGTGAAGCATCAGTTTCAGTTCCACACATTCCAAAAGATGGAAGTTCTGCCGTAATTTGGAACAAATGTAAAAGGGATCAAAGTGAATTAAGATCCTATTGGATAAAGTGCAATTCTTGTTTTTTTTTAAACCGAGACAGTAATTTCACTTCAGTGGTAAAAACACCCAGCATCCCAATGGAAATTCTATTATACAATTGTTGTACATTGTATTACAATGTTGAGCAATTGTAAAGGGACCAAATTAAGAGTCAAATACCGTTTGTTACAATTGTGATAGAAAGTCCACTGGGATTAGGAATCTTCGCATCTGCGGCGAGTTCACAAGACATTTTCCCATATGCATAATTACTGATCAGATAGAATTTTACTGAGATGGGGAAACAGCAAACAATCTTAATGCATTACAGGTGAAACAGGAATAAAATGATTGTTTCTAGTTAAAACATCATTTATGTGCACTGAATTGCTAATGGAATGGATATAATTTGGAATCAATCCTAATGGGAGAAAACTATAAGAATCAAGTAAGATTCCATTGGACATTCTGACATTCTAATTTCACTGCTGAAAAAAAATAAAAACTCACTATGTATAATCAGAGATATATAATCATTTTATCCTACTCGATTAAAAAAAGGTGGTTTCCTCTGGAAATGGGAGTTTTTTAGAGGAGGTTTGGGCACAGAGAGACTCTTTATCCAGTAGAGTTGTGTTTGATTCCTGCTTCTCATTTGAGCCCAATAGAAACTGACTCAGGGTTAGGAAAGCGTTAGCATTTTTTGACTAGGTCACTCACCCAAGATTTCCCCATACGGATAATGACTTGCGGCAGACAGGACAGTATTTTACTGTGACCCCTGAATGACGTTTCGCTTTGATTATTCGCCGAGATCCATAAAAGGCCTTGGTGAAATAATGAGGTGTGTGAGAGTATCCGAGTATTGATCCCTGAATCGATCAGCTCAGACAAACGTCCTCCGCTCTGTTCTACAGATTTACTCCTGATACTCTGATGATGATGATGATGATGATGATGATGATGTCAGCTCGCGGTCCTCTAATTAGTCTGTCAATCTGCGTTTGCCTTGTCATTTAGCAAGCAGAGCAGATCATTAAAACTGCATTATTTATCCCAGTAACTCAGCGATTCAGAGACCCTTCAGACATCAACCAGTGAAAGAAGTGGCTCATGCAGCAAGAACATTATTAATTCAAAATAATTTAAAATAGTTACACTTTTATTAATAACGTTCATTAATAAAACTGCATTTTAACAGTGCAGATATATTATGTACTTCAAAATATGAATAATATAATATGATTCATGATGATTCTGTATATGAACATTAATATGTTAAGCTTTATTTGATGTTGAGTCTCTTCTGCTCACCAAGGCTGCACTTATTTGATCAAACATTAAGTAAAATTGTATATTTATATACAATCATATATTTAAAATATGTGAATATAATGTAAAATGTAATTTATTCCTGTGATCAAAGCTGAATGTTCAGCATCATTCCTCCAGTCTTCAGTGTCACATGATCCTTCAGAAATAACTCTAATATGATGATTTGATGATCAAGAAACATTTATTATCAGTGTTGATATGATCAGTTTTTGCAAAATCTGGGTTAAGATTTTTTTTTTTTAATGGAAAGAAATTAACTTTTATTCAGCAAAGATGCAATAAACCGTGTAATCAAATATATACCAGTTTTCACAGAAATATTAGGCATCAAAAACTTTTTTCACTTTAAAAATAATAATAATTGAGCATCAGATCATCATATTAGAGTGATTTCTGAAGGATCATGTGACACTGAAGACTGGAGTAATGATGCTGAACATTCAGCTTTGATCACAGGAATAAATTACACATATATTCACGTAGAAAACAGCTATTTTAAATTGTAATAATATTTCACAATATTACTAATATTAAATGCAGCCTTGGTGAGTAGGAAAAACTTTAAAAATCATACTAAATAAAAAAGACAGATAGTAGTGTAATATAAGGAAGAGAAGACCAGAAGTGTTTTTCTGTCACTCTCTGTATATTTCTGCGGTTCTGTTTAGTGCTGATGGTCACAAAGCAATGACACACTTCGCTTTTAATTAGTCTGGCTTCTCGTTACAGTTATTATAAATGTCCCCATTCAGCAAAGAGTAAGACTGTCTCTTGTCCTCTTTATAGGACCATCGTTTCAGTGATGAGATTGATAAACTCACGGGATATAAAACCAAGTCTCTGCTGTGCATGCCCATCCACAACAGTGATGGAGAGGTCATCGGGGTCACGCAGGCCATCAACAAGAGTCCCAATGGAGCGCTGTTTACCGAAGACGACGAGAAGGTACTGCATGCACACGCTGGGTAACACACAGCGCTGTACACACTGAAACTCACACAATACGTTTACTACACTTGCATTCTCTCTTCTGCTCTAGTCATGCTTCTAGAAACATTTGACTTCACGTGTGAAGGTTTAATTTAATACTCTGTATGTCTGAATGTTACATGCAAACAAGTGGACACGTTTGTCTTGAGGATTTTCAGGGCGATACAGCAGGTCAGGGGTCGTCTCTCAGGCCGGGCTGAAAGCTTGTAGTGATATAGCACTTATAATTGAGATAACTGAATGAACTGAATAAACTAAACAACTAAAGGTCCGTTTAAACCAATGATAATGGAAGTGTTCGATGGAAATTTCCGTGTTTATACTGTTCTGTGGTAGGGGGCGCTATTACACATCTTGTGAAAGAGTACTGAATCTCCTGATCAAAACACAGGCGAAGAAGAAGCTGAAACAAGCGATATCATATGTAAAATAACACGATCATCAACATTAAACAGCAAATAAATCAAAACTGCCTAATGTTACTAAATGAAATGTCGACCCAGGACGAGCTTTAGGACTGTGAAGCTTTGATCTACTTCATCTGTGTTTTCATCATTGTATTGAATCTGATCTAAATGTATAGTCTTTGACTAAATTCAATTTTCTCAGCTTTTTGCTCAAAATGTTGCTTTTTTAATGAAACTCACCCACATTCAAGTGTTTATAAACGAATGCATTAAGCTAGAATAAAATGTTTTTGTTTGTTTGTTTGTTTAAAAGCCGAGGTTCTGCTCTTTCTTTTGATATATTGCATGCGCAGATATTCATAAAACAACAAAATATTCTGGGGGCCATGAATCTTTTGTGAAAATGATCAGAAATGCTGGTGCTAAAAGGTAATAATCATTCTAATTCTACGAGAATAGTAAGTCCACACCACAGCTATACACATGATAGCGATGGAATCACTCTCAGAATTGTTATTTTTAGTTGATGTACAATAAAAACATTGACAGCCAATCATAATCCTGCTTTAAAGAGTGCCAGCATTTAAAACGGCAGACGACAAAACAGCAGCGAGCGCTTATAATAAACAGAACGTTATCATCAGTTGGTGTGGACATTAATATAGTTACCATTATAGTTATTTTATAGTCATAGTTCTTGGTTTGAACAAGCCATAACAGGCGAAAAATCTGAAATTCTAAAATTCTAAATGGTTAATAAAGGTGCTTTTTATAGGAACTAGCCAGCAGGACGGTGTTCGTACGGCATGCGTTCGGCTAATCAGCGTACACTTATGTCAGTTCCTACTGTGCTGGGTTAGACCCTACTCTGAAGTAGTAGCAAATCTAGCCCGCCTAAAGGTGTTCCTATAACTAAGATCGTTCCCAGTTCCTGCCAAAAAGCGGGTTCTTCTGCCAGTAGTTCTAGGAACTAAAACGATCCTCTGGTGCGAAAGCTTAAGTCTCTAAAATCTTCAGATAATTTGACCCTTTTATGAAAAGTCAAAGTTAGTTGTTTATACTTATTTATAAACTTAAAGTCCCCCTGTAGTCAATAATTGTATCCCTTTAAACTCATCTTTGCTCACCAAAATTACATATTTAAACGTTTTTTCCTTCTTTATGTATTAAAATAGCTTGAATGTAACTCGACACCCTTGCCTCATTTAGTATACGCAGTTCTATGAATATGCAAATGAGCCCCGCCTCCACTCACTCACTCAGCTCAGAGATCCACTGGTTGACGATCACACGTTGATCTGATTGGTTACAAGGTAGTGTGTGACGTCAGAAACACCAGCGATTTCAAACCGTGTTTTTGAGACTGTCTTTGGTTCACTGCAGTTTTAAGGAGAAAATACTCAGCCATGCTGTCGACTTATGAATTTACACATGGTTTGTCTTAAAGCATAGTAAAAACACCACATAGACATAAACAACATTAAAAGCTGGATTTTCATCACAGGGGGGCTTTAAAAATATTGTTGCTTTCATCATGGACACTCTTACTTATTATTTCCCCATTAACAGATCATTTTATCTCTGTGCAGAGAAATCTAATAAGGTCTTAGAGAGTGTAATGTACTTTAGTGCATGCAGTTGTGGAGATTGCAGTGATGTATCATTGTACTTTAGCTTTGCACTGACGACACAAACTGTGTGCTTATGTAATGTTGCTGTCATTGGAGAACTGTGTTCATGAATGTCTGCGTAAAGCTGAATAGTTAGTGTTAACGTCAGTTGCCCTCGTCATCATTTGTTCTGGGCTGAGGTAGTGTGGTCAACCACGCCACGCTATCATGAAAAAGAAATAAAGAGTCTCATTAATGTTGACCTTCAGTAACAATGAAGTCTTTATAAACACAGAAGCAGTTTTCATATGGCAGAGTCATTAATCAGCTGAAATCCCTGAGCCGCTGCTCGGTTTACAGGAGCTCAGGTGACACCGGGAGTGTGATGTGCGGCACGTGTGAAACGTGTGAATATACTCTACCATATTAAAGGACAGTCACTGGAACTTTTTTGTCTTCAAAAAATTGTTATTACCATGGTATTCTTTATTCAAAGTACTTTTGGAGAACCATGTACTGCAAATACAGTATCATATGTAATCATATCAAAGTGACGCCACAGTACACTAGGGTAACGGTTATTAGTGGTGCTGGCTAATGCAGTCTTTACTACACTGAACAAAATTATAAATGCAATACTTTTATTTTTGCCCCCATTTTTCATGAGCTGAACTCAAAGATCTAAGACTTTTTCTGTGTACACAAAAGGCCTATTTATCTCAAATATTGTTCACAAATCTGTCTAAATCTGTGTTAGTGAGCCGAGATAATCCATCCACCTCACAGGTGTGGCATATCAAGATGCTGATTAGACAGCATGATTATAGCACAGGTGTGCCTTAGGCTGGATTGGCCACAATAAAGGGCCACTCTAAAATGTGCAGTTTTACTGTATTGGGGGGTACGGGGGGGAACAATTCACGACGATTCACGATCCCATGCCCCCCCATATACAGTTAAAACTGCACATTTTAGAGTGGCCTTTTATTGTGGCCAGCCTAAGGCACACCTGTGCAATAATCATGCTGTCTAATCAGCATCTTTTCACCTGTGAGGTGGATGGATATGTTTGTATTGAACATTAATGGAGCAACACATTTTGTGTGAATATATAAATATTTTTAAATCGTATAAATGTATGAGCTGGTGTCACAGTGGCTACGTTTACATGCACAACTTTTGTTTCAATTGGATCTGATTGATGAATCCGAATGTAGAATTTTAGAATGACGGGACACTCGTTTATCTGACACTTTATTTATCAGGAAGAACAGCTCGTTCTGCGTGGATCTATTTCAACGTCATTGCACATGCGCAGTCCTTTCAGTTTCGGTTCTCAATCCGATCAAGTGTTTTCATGTCCTCTCAATCGGATTAGAAAAGGAATAAACCACCTCTTTCAATCCGATCGAAATTCGATCGATTAATGTGTTTACATGAAGGCTTTTCAGTCCGATTGATCTTTCAATCCGATTACTAACCGATTATTTGGTTGCATGTAAACGTGTTTTGGACTCAGTTGCATCATTTCCCGCCACTAGTTTGTCGTCATAGTCACTCATTTGATTTGTCATCACTGTCAGCTGTGTTATCGTTAATTACCTCATTTGTCTGTGTTAGGGGTGGAACGGTACACAGAAGTCACGGTTCGGTTCATACCTCGGTTCAGACATCACAGTTCGGTACGATTTAGGTACAATGGAGTGAATAGCAAAACAAAAATGCAGAAGGCATTGTATTTTTTAAATAAGTTTTTTTAATAAAGGCATAGAACCAGTTTATTTGTAGTGCACTGACAATAGTTTTATATAATTAGTTTATTAATTAAATTAATAAAAAGACAAAAAGACCTTGCGATATGTTTGGTAATTGTACCTGAATTAATTTAAAATTATTTTGCTATATCTCAGATCAAAATATTTGTTTTTCCTTAATTTTAATTAACATTATTAATTGACAATGTAACATTCTCTTCTGAATTATAAATAATTGATTTCTGTATAAAATAATACTACCATTAAAAACACATTCGATTTTCTTTTTTTAATCAATGTAGAATGTGTGAGATTAGTGCTCCGAGGACAAGAGATGAAAACCAATGCAATATGACGAATGTCCAAAAGATGGGACAGTTTGACAAGAGTTTGACAAGAGTTTACAGTGTGACAAAAGCACAATGTTGTGTTTTATTGCGAGTGTACACAAATATAAGTAAACACTTTGCAGGTTTAATGATCTGTATGAACAAAATGACGGAGTATGTTTTTTATTTTTCCACTGTTCGATCGCGCGCCTCTCTCTCTCTCTCTCTCTCTCTCTCTCTCTCTCTCTCTCTCTCTCTCTCTCTCTCTCTCTCTCTCTCTCTCTCTCTCTCTGTCTCTCTCTCTCTCTCTCTCTCTCTCTCTCTCTCTCACACACACACACAGTTCGATCGCGCCCGCGCGCCCCCCCCCTCTCTCTCACACACACACACACACAGTTCGATCGCGCCCGCGCGCCCCCCCCCCTCTCTCTCTCTCTCTCTCTCTCTCTCTCTCTCTCTCACACACACACACACAGTTCGATCGCGCCCGCGCGCCCCCCCTCTCTCTCTCTCTCTCTCTTTCTCTCTCTCTCTCTCTCTCTCTCTCTCTCTCTCTCTCTCTCTCTCTCTCTCTCTCTCTCTCTCTCTCTCTCTCTCTCTCTCTCTCTCTCTCTCACACACACACACTCCAGCATTGCAATCTTGACATCGCTGCCTGTTCATTATGCCGTCACACCAAACGCGAATAGAGCGTCAAATTCGCGTCTAGTTCGACGCTAGTCCAAAGCGAATAGGACGCGCGTATAAAGCCAACGTTTGAACGTTTGAATCCAACGATGGTACAGATTATGTGTCCCTAAAGAACCCGCGTATCTAACAGTAGTTCCGCATTACATTAATTAATTTGCACGCGAG